ACACCGGACCGTAGAAACCACACCGGACCGTAGAAACCACACCGGACTGTAGAAACCACACAGGACCAATTAATGTTTTCGTACGTCACCTTGAGATGACGTTTGTTGTGATATAAATAAACTGGATTGAAATAAACTTTCTGATTCTCACAGCTTAACGTAGACCTACATTTAAATTTATCTTTGTTATACGCGACCATAAATTCTCCCCTGGTACAAATTTCTTTTTGTATTGGTGTGAGGGGGCGTTCTGGGACTACTGGTAATGTTTAAGTACAAATGTTTGCTGTAGGAGTTTTGTTTTTAAACTAACAGGCTCCAAACACTTTAGTGTGAATTCGTCTGCAACTTTCTGTGAAGTGACGGGGGATTTTTACTGGAGCGCATCAGATATATCCATAAAATGGCATATACATGTTAAAGAAATTAAAATAACCCCGATACTCAAAATGAATGATTTACTGTGGAGCCTGAACTTTGGAACAAACATTTTCTCTCATTACAGCTCTTTCACAATAAAAGAATTACCTCACGTGTTGCAGTTTTCAAAACTTTGGCCCATGTCTAAACTTGTTTCTAAGTGATTAATCACGTCTTATTTTTTATTTTTCCCTCTTAGTTTCAAACAAAACCATCAGGCTAAGAAGAAGAAGCAGGAAATGGTTTATTCTGAATGAAGTTACAAAACAAAAAACTAAAGTTAATGAGTCAACATTTAGCCGTTAAGACGGTTTTAACTGGGTGGAGCAACAAATCCTAAAGTATTACGATGAATTCAGGCGTCGCTTTACATCGAGACCGTAATAATTTATAATAAGTGGTAACGTAAAGACACGATAAGGTCAGGGTCAGTGTTTTTAAGTCTCTGATTAAACAGAAATAAAACAAACAGCTTCCAGATAAAAGTCATAAATGTCTGTTTGCACGAGCAGGAAACACCCAGGGAGTGTTCAGGTAGCTCGATAACCTCCACAGATTCACTTCCTCTCATTCAGCCTCTGCTTTGTTTGTCTAAAAGTGACGTTCAAGCACCCGGCCAGGTCTGAACAAAGATCCGCTGGGTTTCTCTTTCAGCAGGAAGCTCCTGACTCACTCCGAAAGCTCCAAAATAAAAATATCGGGGGCGTTCATGATCAAACGCGCCCACAAAACCACGACAGATATAAGAGTTTGTGTCGTGCTTTCACAACAGGGACGTGAAGAGAGGACAGATGTTGGATCCTCACCGAGGACACGGGGGGTTAATAATACTGAGAGGCAGCCAGAGTGTGGCGGAGACGCTCCGTTTTACACCAAATGTCACAAATAGACAAGGTTCAGGCTGGAGTTCAGTCTTATTCTGTCAAAAAGGTGGTGAGCAAACATGGCTGTTAGCAAAATATCTCATGAAATAACGGAGGAGTTTTACTGAAAACTGCAGAAAGTTTTCCCTGGATGTGCATCCACAACTTGGAGTCAATCCAATTCAAGATGGCTGCCACAGCTCATCGACACGAGGGAAGACGCAAACGGTTTTTGCTCAGTCACTTTTTCAGGTGCGGAGCTAAAACCTGGTGTGGTAGTAGCTGAGAGTCATTGACGACGATGACAATAAAACGCAGTGTTACCCCAACAATACACAAGGAGGACGCCCCGCCCTGCCAAAAGAACTGAGCACCTGCCTACTGACCCCCCACCCTCCAACAACGTCAACAACTGCCGGCACTGATGTAGCGCTAAGCTAGTGACATGCAATACAGACGTGCTAGCTAAAAAGCTACAGCAGTAGCGCTCCGTCTCCCTCCCGCCCAGCCGTTTCCACATCTTCCTTTTAATTATTTTCTGCACTGAGTGACACATGACTTTAGGAGGGAAGGGAAGTCTGAGATCGTCTTCCCTGCATGTTTCCAAACTAAGGTGAAATTAGTTCTCTGCATCACACCTGAGATACACCAGGGGGAGAGTGGGCAGCTATGCAAGCGCCCGGGGAGCAGTTAGGGATTGGGTGTGTTGCTCAGAGACACCACGACATGTGGGAACGGTTGGGGATCGAACCTGGGACTTTCTGGTCCCCGGTCGGCTGCCTGACCTCTACCCCATCTCGGCCCCCTAACAGGTCGGGTTTAAAATTATTTGGCAAGAAAGATGGTTAAAAAATTTAAATGATAAACAACTGAACTCACCAAGCTGACCAAAAGATCAAGAAACCAAAACAAAAAGTAAGACTGTGCAACGACTGCAGCATTTTTTGTGTATATATATATATATATATATATATATATATATATATATATTTTGTTCGTTTTGTTTGGCATAATCTGGCACCAAAGTTTCCAGTTGACGTTTCCGGTGGACGTTTCCAATGAAAACTATTCCCATAAAGCTTTCCAATAGCGGTTTCCACTGGAAAGTT